TAAGCAAACAGCTTATATCTTCCAATTCCAAAGCATAACTGAACAAACTTAAGATAGAAGCTGATTGGTTACAAAGGGCAACTGCTCCAGTTTTTATAAATTCCCCCTCTGGAATTGTGCAGGCAATTCCTATTATCATAGACAACTTTTTCATATGGAATAATTTGATTCACTAAAAAAAAAAAAAACCTGTTGTAGTAACATGAGAGAGGAAGGTCGCATCTATTTGAGAGTAATCTCCTTACATGCCAAGAATAGGGTTTGTGGTAAAAAGATCCCTGTATAATAAGGCCATGCTTCTTTAACAAGGATGCCAGAGAGGCATACTTTAGGAATGCACTCCACTCATCATGACACTAGGGAAGATAACATATTAACCCCTTGAGTAAAAAAGGAAATAGTCAGACATGTCCACAATAGGTGGACAAAGTCCACCTGTTGCACACATTTCAGAGAGTTTGTATTATTTAGTCAACCCATTTTGAATAAACAAAATGGGGACAAGCAAGACTGCTGTATAATAAATAACTGAATAAGTTTATTGTTCACCATTGGGAATACCAGAAGGTGGGAAAAGCAAATATCATCCTAGTTGTCAACAGTAATGTAAAAACACGTTGCCCAATTTAGTGTGCAATAAATGTGAATACAGGGTAGAAACAAGTCCTTTCAGACCCTGTGTCATATGAATACCTATCAAAAGATATTTAGTACTACATGGGTCTTGGTTCCTAAATTTAGTGCTCAGTGCATGATGTACCTGCAAAAATCTATTTTAAAAAATCCCTTGGGAGATTAGATTTTTTTTTCTGGAGCTGGGTGTATGAGTAGAGAGAGCCATTGCGATAAATATCTAATAATACGGTTATACCATGGGCCTTCCGGGCGCCAAAGTCCCGGACTGAGGCAAGAAGCAATAAAAGGGGTTTTGTCTAAATGGGCCTATTACTTGTGTTTTTAAATGCAACTAGTGTAGGTATTTTGCTTTTAGACCTCCTTCAGGTAATCCCGTGAACAGGGGAGAATTTGCGCCAGCACCAAAAGCCAACCAGGCTCTGTTGCACTGCACATGTGCTTTTAGTATGTGATGTGATCATGCCTACTGAAGGGAGAGTAAAGTTAGGCTCATCAGTGTGCTGCTTCTCCCTTTTTCTATCAGCAGGTTAGGGTGTGTTCTGGACCAAACTGTGATTTTACAGCAGTGAAAGTGCAAGAGGTGGCTGGGCTGTCTGGCAGAAGTGTTTGGATCATGAGGCTGGCTACACAGGACTGCAAATCCTTTGCAAGGCAAGACACCTCACATATATTTATTTCAATGGTATGTTCATCTGCATGCCTATAGCTATAAAGAAAAAGATCCCAAATAATGAGCATCATCATCTTAGTTTTTTTTTACTGATAAAATCTAAAATAAGATATTTTATTCAGAAAAACGAGCATCCATTCATGCACTAAATTAGTTTCTAAAATATAGATTCAAGCAAGCAACTGGTGAAATGACTTCTGGGTAAATGCCATTTTAGCAGTTACAAGCAAGCCTTGGAAAGGCGACTCAAAGAAGCAATGCCTATTTCACAGAATATGAAGACATGTAAAAATGAATATCTGAGAGATGATGAGGGTAAGCAGAAAAAAAAGACAGCAAGTATTGTGCAAGAATCTAGCACGGCGGCGCCAGTAACTATGGCAGCAGCTGCTGACAGGTGATTTAGGAAGCAAGAAGTCATTTGAACGTTATAAAGATATACTCTATATCCAACAGGAACTTTTCCTGAGCTATTAAAAAAGTTAGAACCCTTGAGCATAAGTATATACAAACCTAACAAGGAAGGAGAGCTACTACTCATACCTAAAATGGCAGTGTAACATCACCCTATTATAATTTCAGGAAACCGATAACCTTACCAGAATTTAATGATACTGTTTATGATGTCCCTGGACCTTTAACTGCCAGATACAAATGGAGACATTTCAGTTTTAGCTCCCTTATGAAAGAAAGATCCAAAATGAGGTTTAGCTTTAATGATGCTCTGGCTTTTCATTGCATGATGTACAGTATGTGAGCATTTTTCTGAGCTCCCATAGCAAAGAAAGCACATAAAAAGCAATAAAGTAAAATTGCAGTCTAATTAAAATAGGAGGGTAAAATTCTATATTTAAGCAGTCTTTGAAAGAAAACTAAATACAATCCATTAAGGGTATCCACAGACATGAGTTAATTGTTGTCCACTCTTGCTGACTCGAAGTCAAAACTTTGCTGGAAGACTACTTGGGTGCAGTCACTTTCTCTGCCAAGGCGCTTTAGTCAGAAAGGTAGGGGGTTCTGTAAGTGTACCAGGTATTCAAATGGGCTCTGGCAGTGGATTATGGTGGAGAGGACCAAGGAAGAGTTAGCATTAGGCAGGTCTGCTATGTAGCAGGTGGCTTCTTTTTCTCCCTAAAGGTTTACTTTAACAGTCTAACTGAAGTCTAATGCATGGTTATCCTGTACCCTTGAATTTAATTATCTATGACTTACCATATTTTTTGCTCCATTAGACGCACCTGACCATAAGACGCACCTAGGTTGCTGCACGTGTTACAGGAGATTGTAGACCTGGGGGAAATATTCGCTCCATAAGATGCACAGACATTTTTGCCCGCCTTTTGGGGGTAAAAAGTGCGTCTTATGGAGCAAAAAATACGGTATTTATGCCTGGAGTTGCCTTAAAGTGTATGCAACCCCTAACAATAACTTGTCTTATTTGCTCCCTTTTGGTCTGTTAAAGTGGACCTTTACCCATATCTTTAAAATAACAACAAACACACCTTTAGAAATGTTTTGTAATGACAATCTACAAACACATACTTCTAGATAACTTCAGCCTTTGTATTCTTTGCACACCTTATTTCTCTTTTCTTCCCCAGTCTTCTGGCAGTGGCCATGTTTACTAATGGCAGATCACCAGCTCTCCTTATCCTTCTTGGATTTCTGGCACATGTGACTAGGACATGTGACCATGCACATCAACTCAGGGGAGGAAAATGCCTTTCCCTGAGATCTCCTGAGATCGCAGATGAGATAACCCAGCAATGCTCTGCTGATGACAAGGCAAACCCAGTGTGCATTGCGTTGGCAAACTGAAGTCATTTGCACTTTCAAAGCAGGAAGTGAGTGCTCTGCAAGTTTGTTTCAGAATCATAGCATTTTACACCTGACATGGCTATGTTATTAATAATCATCATACATAGAGGGATGCATCGGTAGAATTAGATTTTTTTGCTGCGGGTAGCCGTACATTTAAGGCAGCTTACAGAAGTGGTTATACTAAGAACCGTGTTCTTGATGTCAATTTAAACAACCAGCGATGGCTGTTAATGTACAAGCGATCCGGCATCTATGCAGCCGTTTGTACTGACCCGTGGAATGCGCTGCCCACACCCCCCTCGGCCGCCACCGGCTTCCCGGGGCTCTGCTGTCCCCCGTGTGGGCCCAGGACCGGCAGGGCTCCCCGTAACGACCGGGGAGAGATCAGCAGGCTTCCAGCCACTGATCTCTCCTCTAATCAACGGACCTAGAAGTGATGTGTATTACATCACTTCCAATGTCACTGTGCACATTCTCCGGCTCTAAGAGTCAGGAGAAGAAGCTGGGGAAGCAGATCTCTACCTACATGAAAAAACTTAAATTGCACTACACGTTACATATCGCTGCGAACATCCGAAAGAGAGCAATAATTCTCCAGCCATTAATCACTGTCATCACTAAACTGATGAGCAGTAAAAGCTTTTAAATTGTCCCCTATGGGAAATTTGGGGTATTGTGTTTTTTTGCGGCTTCACGGGCGAACGCAATTTTAAGGCTTGACATGTTTGGTTTCTATTTACCCAACGTGACCCCATCTTTTATATTTATATTATATTTAACCAAAAAATTGGGTATTATATTCTGTTACTGTTAACTAAATTTAATTTTAGTGCATGTTATCCTAAAAATACTGGTTTGATAAACATTTGCGCAAACACCGTGCAACGTAAAAAAATTGCAACTAGCATTTTTTTATTCTGCAGGGCCTCTGCTTTCAAAATAAATACATCACTGTTTGGGGGTTTGAAGCTGGTTTCTAGACAAAAATTCAGATTTTATCATGTGTGCAAATAAGAAACTGCTTTGGACAACAAGTGCTTAAAAATACACCATTGAAACGGTTTTGTTATATATGTTCAATAAGTGCAAATGTTACCTGTTAATCCTGCCAGAGATTTTGTCAGCTGATAAGAATGCAGTACAGGTAAAGAGCAGAGCATGTTATCAGTAACACTGCTCCCAGTTATCTTTAAGAACTACAGACTCCTGCCCCCTCTATGTTATATTTTGTTGTCCAAATAAGAGCAACCTAGGGTGACCACTAAGCTCCTCCATAGTTGCAGTATGGTAAGCGTTTTTTAACCTAAGATAGGAAGTGTGTTACTGGCAGGATCACCAGGTAAAAATAAAGGGAATAAAAAGTTTGCTCAGGTAAGATTTGAAAATAAGAGAGAGAGAGAGAGAGAGAGAGAGAGAGAGAGAGAGAG